TTCCAGGCAGTTGATGTGCATGTGTCGTTCCTGTGGGGACCATGGTCCGCCTGTTCGAACATTGTTGAAAGATGCTCCCCAGCCTATTGTGGATGCATCTGTCTCTATCACCATGTCCGGCTTCGCCAACAGGAGTTGTTTCCCGTTCTTGTGAGACAGCTGATCCGTCCACCATGTCAGTTCCTCTCTGGCATCTGGTGACAGATGGCAAGGATGGGAGTACTCTTGATTCCCCTCCTCGAGAGACACTTGTAGACACCTCTGCAGGTGTCTGTAAAACAATGGTGCCGCAGCGATTGCTTGGGCCGCATGGTTCAGTTTGCCCAGAAATCTGGAAACTGCCAACGCCGACAAGGCATCTGCTTGCAGTAGACTTTTCGCCTCGGACTTGATCTTCTTGATCTTGTCTGAGGGTAACTTCAGCTCCATCGTTGCGGAGTTCACTGTCAACCCGAGGAATTCTGTCTCCTGGGTTGGAATCACTTGGGATTTGGTTTGGTTTACTGTGAAACCCAAGTTTTCGAGTAGAAAGATCAGGCACATTGTGTGTTGACGAGCTTTCTCTTCGCTTTCTGCCAGAATCAGAATATCGTCTATGTAGATGATTACTCTCAGTCCGAGTGTCCTGAGAAAAACCATTATTGGCTTCGTGGTCTTGGTAAAGACCCATGGAGCCGACGACAGACCGAAAGGTAGGCAGTTGAACCGGTACGTCTTTCCCATCCACTGAAATTTCAGGTAGGATGTGTGTTCCGGCGTTATCGGGATCGCAAAGTAAGCGTCCTTTAGATCGACTTTCGTCATCCAGTCGCCCTGCTTTAGCAGGTCTTTGAGAGTGTGAATTCCTTCCATCTTGAAGGAAACTTTCCTCACAAAGGTGTTGAGACTCTTCAGATTTATTATTGGTCTCACACCCCCGTCCTTCTTCGGGACTGCAAACAACTGAGAAATGAATTCTTTCTCTTGTTTCTTCATCTGTACTTCCGTAACAGCATGTTTCTCTACCATCTTTTGCACTTCTAGTGAAAGACAGTTCATCTCTTCCCCGGAAAAGACTATTTCGTGGGGCGGTTTCACTTGATGGGGTTGAGCAATCCAATCTATTGCATACCCTTGCACACAATCCTGTACCCAACGGTCGGATGTGAGAACTTTCCAATTTTGAATGAAAAGTTGTATCTTCCCTGCAGGGGGAGGACTCTGTAAGTGTAAGGCTATGCTTTGAGCCATGTCCACAAAACCCAAGTCCTTCAGGCACACCATAAGCGGAGATTGAGACATATTTGGAAGAAATTTTATTTCTTTCAAATGATTCATGAGGAGGCACTTCTGGTCCCGCTGATGCTCGTGTGCTGGACTTGGACTTGTTGGAGCTGGATGTCACTTGGCAGAGTCCGAGGACTTCTTGCTGCTGCCGTGGCTGAAGCTCGAATTGCCTGCGTAAGGCTGGTACCGTCCTCGTCCCCTGAATCCTCCACGGGAATTGCGGGAGTCCCGGTGAAAAACCGGCTGGTGGCTCTTGAAACCGCTCGGTTTCTTGGCAGGAGCTGACTGGGTATGGGTCTTGCTGGCTGCAACGCTGTTCAGCACCCGCATCTCGTCATCACGCTCCTTCGCCTTCTTATAAAAGCCGTCGCCAAACAAATGTTGACGGGCTTCGGTAAAAATGGAGTCGTCCTCAGCCATATCCGCAATGCGGGGGTTCAGACTAGAGAGGGCAATTTGACGGCGTTCCCGATTACATTGGGCCGAAAAATTCCCGAGGAGTTTGACTGCTGACTGTACAGCCTCCAATATCTCGCAAGCAGAGATATCCCCACTCTCTGCTCCCTCCAACACTCGAGTTAGGGGACCAACGGCGTCCAGGCCCAAGCTTTGCAGGCGCGCCAATTGTTTGTCTCGAGACTTTGTCTCATTGGACATCCTGGACTTCATGACTTTGTCAAGTCCAGGACAAGCCGAGTGTGGACAGTTTGGGGCACCAAACTTGTCACGAATTTGTCGCCTGCTCGGATTCGGCAAGGCGGAACAAAAACTCGACTTCAACAAACCCATAGTTGAATCAGACACAGGAAAAAGTTTGACCCCTTTGGAGTCCAACTCTTCCGTCTCTTTCTCCATTTCCTCCATCACACTGCTATCATCCGGCCATGACTTGGAGCTTTGCTCCTTGTATGGTGTGGACGTGCCGAGGAATGAGACAGTCGAAGGATTTTGTCTTTGACTATCCTCGATTCTCGTTACACGATCAGCAATGCTTTGCATGCTGGCTTGGATATTTTCCAGGATTCCAACCATCTCGCTGGACGGTGTAGACGACGTCTCCATACCAGTATCCATAACTAGAAGAAGTACAAAGACTAAGAAATGTTTCAAAACTGAAAAGGTACAAGACGTACAAAACGCAGCCGTCACTCAAGGCGAGCTAGAAAAAAGGCCGAAGAGCAAGTGTGGAACGGACAGTTTCGACAACAAAAAAATGTGCGCTTTCCAAGATGCCAAAGGGCATGCGCACAAAATAAAACACAAAATTCACATAAAACATGTAAAATACACTACAAACTAGCTGTCAAGTTAGAGAATTAGGCCAAACACGTTGATATGGAGACAGAGCATTCTGAAATATAATGTACATAGTCGGGCTATACACATAAAATGCGCGCCAACTAAATGGGCGCGCTCATGCATTGCACCGTACATTTATTGTAGTATTTCACATAATATAACCAGACTTGTCAAACGAACAAGCCGTAATGCTAGTCAGTCGAATCCTTGCCCTAATGCTGGTCTCCCAATAATCTGTCCTCGTCTCGTGAAATATCCGACTCCCAACTAACTGGTATCTCTGGAAGTGTGTGAACCATAACCTTTGATAACAATATGGTCGTGAAAGTCAGCTTTCGCATCAAAGTTGAAACCGTGCTCAGCCATAGGGATGGTGGTCAGGGTACTGGACCCACCCTTCTCGTGTGCCAAGGACAATGCTCCCTGTTGTGGTTGCGGCAGGTGGTCTTGGATGGCGGTAGCTGTTGCTTCCAGTACTGCGCGGTGGCGAATCCGCACTGCCGACGTGGTTGCCTGGTCCAGCCAAATGCTCTCCAGCAACTCCGATCCGCCTGGAGTGATCTGAGCTGAAAGGTGGGCGGTGCTCTCCAAAGACGCAGCGTGCTTGCGTGGAGAGTCCTCAACAGGGTTGTCGAAAGACAAGCCTCCATGTCGAGCAGGCAGAGCCACCATCTCCATCTCCAAATCGCCCACTTCATGCTTGGTCAGAGCTGGCAGTAGACGGCTGCGAATAGCATCCTGTAGAGGCTGCAGGTTGTCACCAACAGTGGGCATAGTGTGTTGGAGGAATGTCCACCGGTGATGCAAACCGAAGACGAAGGCAGCAAATGCAGCGTCAGCGTCAGGATCATGTGTAGCTGCTACATTGGCAAGTCGCTCAATCTGGTTGTAAGTTCCATGCTTGAACTTATTGCCTCCAGATAGGCAGAGACAAACTCCTCTGAGCCGATAGCAGCGCCCAAATGCCTTTGTCCCGACTTGTGGACCAAGTTTTCGCCCCCACCAGCTATCTTGATGCCAGACCCTGCGAAGACTCGCTCTGCCTCCGCCCGACACTCGGCTTCGGGAAGTGGCCGTAGGCAGGTCCTCCGGACACAAGCTTATCCCAGAAGCGGCGGAATGCCAATAGAGCACCACCTGCAACAGCATCATCGGTAAACCAGACCTGCATGGCCTTTGCTAGAGCGTCATCGGATACCTCATCGCACGGCACTGATTAAAGGAACCACACTTAACGCATACATCGCCATGGACAATGGACAGCCTTGCTTGAGTTGTACCTTCCTCTGACGAGAGCTCCATTCCATTGTGACCTGTGACGAATAGTCTAGCTGGTGACCGGTAGATGGTTGAAGGCGGTGTCGGCATCCGCAAGCCTGTCTTTCTGGTACAGTGCCCTTGGCTACTGGGGATCACACACACACCGGTGAGTCCTTCTTGCTATACTACTGCACTGTGTGTAGCAACTTGAGAAGGACCCGGCACTGGTGTGTGTGTAATCATGGTGATCGCCGGTAGGGCACTGTTCCGGAAAGACGGGGCAGAGGGCCCATGGGGTACCCGGGTGCTGGGTTCGTCGGAATCCTGCTAGTGGACCCTGCTTTTCAAACTAAGTTTGGCAACAATGAGTCCTAGCCCTTGGCGGATTATGCTGACATAATATTCGGATTTTGTCTAAAATTATGCCCTGGCATAAAAGGACTTCTGAGACCAGACGGTCGGCATAACCTTACGATGGTGGCTGAAGATTAATGCTACAGGCCGCATACTTACAAGTTTAGGCAGACGGTTTACAGGAAAAAATCTGGCACCGGAATGTTACATGCTGTCATGGTGCCGGAGGCGTTGTAACGTTGCAAAGTGGAACAAGAGTGCACGGGTACAGTCTACAGAGGTCATGTCAGTTCAGGTACAGAAACCTTCGCAGAAATAATTCGGAAATATCCGCGCAGAAAAAGTTACGAGGTAAAATGCCACAAAGTGCGGGGAATACTGGTATTGCGGATTGTGTCAAAAATTGGGGGAATATTGTGGTACAATTGCGGAAATTGGGACCCATTTTGGCACCAACATTGGCATAATTCCAGCATAATGTAGCATAATCACTGGCATTATTTGGGCATCATGAATGGATAGCATAATTCAGCCCGAGCATAATCGGATTAATCCGCCAAGGGCTAACAACAAGAGTAGATCTACAGTCACGAAAACCTTTTTCACTGATATGATGTACTCTTGCAAACAATGACAACCTTAGAAATCGCCAAGGTAACCAAAATGGCAGTCGACAACTCCACGATCCCGGGCCATGGCCCACACGAGCTTTCGTACTTATTTGTACCGAATCTCAAGGAAAAAATATTTCAAATTAGCATGCACGGAAATATAATTGTGGGGATTCGGGATTGCACCTTCTCTCAGGAATTCTGTCGCCATCACATTGAGAAAGATGCCACATACCGGTAATGACATTGCACAGAGCTACATAGCTGTGCCAATATTTTAACGAAGTCTTGTAGATTCTCTCGCTGATCCTAGTTCCTTTCAGGCTCTACTTCATTCATAGCTTTGCACATGTACTCATGCTAGCTAGTCGTTGATCAGAAGTGCACCTTACACCAGAAGTGTATATTTTAGACAGCATTCTATTGGGATACGATAGGCATTCACGATGAACCATTATCTTGTCTACTATTCTGGAGTGGAGCAGAATTTCCGTCTGCCTGTGAGTATCATAGAATTCTGATTGGGTCGTGGGCAGGCGTTGTGGCTTGATTGGCAACAGGCAGGAGAAATGACCCAACTACTGACTACGTCTATTGCAGATGGGCATGTGATTTCCTACATGCAGTCCTCAGAGTCACTAGTACTGCACTGCATGCTCTATGCTCTGGCAAGAAATGTCCATGTCAACATTTGCTGTAGGTGGTGATTTACTGAGCGTCTTTCCAGAAACGTGTTTTATCTGCCTTGCTATGTGCAGGAGTTTGAGTCCTTGTGTGACTTGATGAAGGTCAGGTTTTCAGTTGTGAGTGGAAACCCAGATAAGGTATGAACTACACTTGTCCTATAGGCTATACCCACGTTAATACCCTACTTCAAGTACATGTATACCCACGTTAGTACGGAGGATTAGCATGACGAATTTCGTGTTTGAGTTCGCATCCGTTTTTGGATTCGCAAACTCAATCGCGTATTTTGCATTTTCTGTACCGAAAAGTCGTCGGATTGCGAATCTGGTTTCCGCATTCAAGGAGTCGTAAGTTGACTACTTTGCGCTGAAAAATTTGATCGCGGGAAATTTGAAAGCATGTGGTACATGGTGTCGTTTGCCACGTGTTCCAATAGGAGCAACATGCGCCACTTGAAGTTTTCCTTTTCTCCTTCGTTTGTTCTTCGTGACACTTGGAAGTTAGATCCTTACGTCTTTCACCATGGAAGCCTCTGGTCAATCTGAAATGCATACAAGCGGAAGCCCTGAGCGCCTTCTTCCGGCTACCTCTCCCATCTCCAGCTCCTCATCCACCAAAACCCGACCTTACGATCTGCAAATGGATCTCATGCTCCTCCGGCAAATGAGAATGCAGGACAATGCCTTTCAGAGAGGTGATCCGGGCTATGACGCAGTAGCCTCGGGTTTGTCTTCTATGTGTCCCGAACAGTTTCATGGCCTCACCAAGAAATCTGTGAGGGATCGCGTGTTGTAGCTGCTCGACAACTTCCGGAAGGTAGACTGGAAAGAGCGTACTGGGTGAGTGGCAATCTAAAAACTAGGGAGCAAAGGATCGTATTGAGTACTCGAGTACTTGTTCGCTAGCTAGGGCGGTCGTTGCTGATTGCGTTCGATAAGAGATCGCTAGTGGTACATTATTTATTATGTATACCTGGTATACGCATGCTTATTACGTGCCTGGAAAAAGCGGAAGTGCCGAGTCAAGCAGTACAGTACCTTTAGTGACTCCCATGAAACACAACAGTAGCTTTTTGTCCTGCACTTGTTTGAAGTTATTTGCAGTTTCAAACGTCTCCTGTACATGAATGTACTCTTGTTCTTACTTATAGGTACAGTTAAAGAGTACTCGATAGCTCGATCGTTACCACAAATACTCGTTCGTTAGCTAAAGAGTAATCGTTTGTTCCCTGCTAAAAACTGTTCACGATGAGGTTTGGCGAGATCGGGTATATGTATACATACATGTGTACGGTTTTCTAGTGGGAAACAGAACATACAGAACTTAGCAATTCAGTTAACAAAATGCATGTTAAACTCGGATGGAGAGCCAAGGATTAAAAAAAATTAAAAAAGAGGACCATAAGTTAACAAGTTGTCCGTTTTGTCCAACACTAACGATTATAAGCAGGAGATACTCTTGAGTCAAAATGTGCAACAATTAGCACAAAACTGACTGAATGCGCAAACCAACAGCCTTCCAACTTGGAAGGTTCGAAGTTATGAAGTAACGTAAGAAAAGGGGAAAGTGAGCGCACTCTAGACGAAAACAAGCTAAACATCACAGCGAACTAAGAATGTTAGCTATGACAAGATGATGACGCAGGGCGAAGGACCACGACACAGAAATGTAAATATTAAATAAGGAAATGAAAGTTGCGTGCTGAGAACGATCTCTTGCCTACTTCAAGTACATGTATTCGGCCAGTGTTGGTGGCTTGATTCCGAAACACTCTGATGTCTTATTCCCACCGCTGAGGATGATCCTGCAATTTGTCAGCAACACAGCCACCCTGTAGAACATGGCTATTGGTTGCAACAAAAGCTTGTTCTGTTCCTTGCAATTGAGGTATGCCCAGTATGTAGCGACATCGCCAAATGACCATTCCACGGCCATTCTGATTTGACTCATGCTGGTGTTGAAAGCTTGCTGTTGGGCTGTAAGGTGCGCGCCTTGATACCCCTTCATTATGAGGGGAGACAGAGGATACACAGGATCACCATACAATGCATGGACTTCATTTCCTGGCAGAACAAGATGCTGCTGCAGTTGCTCCAGCAGACCGCTCTCCTGCAACACTCCAGCATCATGGCGACATCCCTGGACGGGTCCTAACAAGTGGCACACCAGGCCATCGAGGGTGGTAATTGCCTGGTACTGTAAACCATGATGGCGCTTGTGTCCAGTATAGAAATAGCGTTGATCACGAATGGGCCTGCACATCTGACGCAAAGTACCATCTATGAAGGCCCAAACATTCAAACCTACGCTTGATATTCGCCGGATGGCCTCATTGTACGCTTGCACACGCTTAGGTGTGAAGTATGGTCTCTCAAATGGGTTTGAAAGTACATGCCCCCAATTTCGCCAGATCCATATCAACATGCAGTTGAAAATCATGCTGAGAGCTGCTTTGGATCGTCCAAACTCATTAACGAGATCTCCGAATCGGTTAGCGTAAACAAGACGGCGGAGGACAACCAGGAGTCCTTCCATACCGCTCCAGCTGACTCTGCAAGGGGACGTCATCCTATGGGGTAGTCGAAGCCCGGCACACAGCTCCCTCAGCTCAGCTCCTGTGAAGCGGAAACGCCTCTAGCAGCAGTCATCGTCCAAATTCTCAAGGCTTATCCTTGTTTCCGGAATAAACTGAGGGGCCGGACACTTTTCTCATCCAATGTCATTCTCAGAAGTAAGAGCGTCTCTTCATCGATGTCGCCGTCATCGTTGCTGATGAGGAGGCTCCGAAGCAAGTCTAGATCGACATCCATCGTATAGTAGCAGCCAGCGGCAATCATGCACACAAGGAAAAAGATAAGCAACTCACGAAATCAAGTGAAAAGTGAAGTAACTTTTAGTTCCGAAAGTAGTTTGCATTAAAAAAAAAAAGAAAAAAAAGGCAAATCAATGCCACTTCATTTCTTGGAAAAAAAATATTGTCACACCTAGCGAAACCTCCATGCATATGCTAATCCTCTATGACCAGGCAGGCACAGTGGGTTGGTCAAAGACCATGATTGAGATACGAGAGGTACCTGGTTCAAGTCCTGCCTGGGAGCGGTTTTTCCAGCTGTGCTGCTACCAAGAGTACATAACCCCCAGAGTGTGCAACTCCCACATACCCTGCTGTCCCGACAGAATTTCAAGTTGACGTCGTTATTTATGACGCAATGCTCCTTGCACCAGTGATTTACAACATGTGTACGGGTGTCAACGCATCACACGTTTTTCTTTCCAATAATTTGTACAGGATCGATCGGCTTCGGTCAACCACAGGTTCCGGATTCGTCTGATAATCCGTGTACAGTGCGCATTGCATCATCAAAATGACGTCAACTTGAAATTCTGTCGGGACAGCACCCATAGTGGAGTTGCACACTCTGGGGGGGGGGGTTATGTACTCTTGCTGCTACCCACAGTCAACTGGGAACTTGTGGCCAGGCACAAGGGGTACATGGATGCAGCTAATGGGGTCGTTCTCGGCACTTGTGCCAGTGGTTGTGAGACTTATCCACTCACCCCCACCGTTAGGCACTGCATCTGCTGCTAGGGTTTACCGGGTGTTAGCGGCCGTCGTGAGTTCCCTTCGGGAACGGACACGATAATTTACTTTTTACTTTTAATCCTCTATGACACGTGAAGTTCGCCTCGAGTTTCGTCTCCGCTTCAACGCGAACTCGAAAGCGAAATTCGTCTGCTAATCCTCCGCATTGTTACTGTAGCTGTTGCTGTGTTTTCTCCACCGGTATGTAAGATCATAGATGGTTATATTGTGTGGGGAGGATGTCTGGAATTTACTGCTTCCGTGCTTTCTGTGCCATCTGGGATCTGTAGTAGCATGGAGCAGTTTTCGCGAGGCTTTGGTCCGAGGCTTTGATCCCGCTCTGTGCACTTCAAGTTTGTTTGCTGCATACTTCCACTGTATTACATCACAGCCATAACTGAGAATTGATGTACCAGTCAGTACCAGCATTGCCGGATTTGACACTGGGTCTGGGAATGTGGAGACCTAGAGAAAGCTCTCTTGCTGCTTGGTACTCCTTCCTTTCTTCTACAGATGTTATGTTAGGATGAATGTAGGAATGCACTGTGTGTGTGTGTGCGCGCGTGTGTGTGTGCGTGCGTGTGTGTGCGTGTGTGTGTGTGCATATGTGTGTGTGCATGTGTGGACGGGTATGTGTGCTTGTGTATGTGTGTCCCTGTGAATATGTGTGTGTGTGGTTGGCATGGGTATGGGCAGGATCGTTACTTTGTTATACACACTGAGGACAAGGAGAATCTATGCAAAGCAGTGGGACGCTCTATGCTCATACAGTAAGTTTGATGGATGTGTCAATACATTGTATACATTGTATCTAGATGTTACTTGAACTGGAATAGCCCGGTTTCCCAGCGTGTTATTTATTCCACAGGAGTCTTCCAGTATAATATCAGAACTTGAAATTGTAGTTGATAGAATGGATCACATGCAGGCTCTGCATACT